TGTACAGTTGGAGAGTGAGTGAGGTATCTGCATATGGAAATGTAGATACACCAATTTTTTGGAAAGAAAAAAAACTTGATATATAAAATTTTGAGAACTTGTTTGCACTGAAGTCAATATAATAGAAGGAATGCTATATAATTTGCTGAACTGGTACAGTAGCATAATGGAACTTCTTGGGAACTATCACATTTTTATTTTGCAGCTGAAAGCAGCGATCGTCCAACAGATTTCTTGACACCAGCCGCAACTAGCACTTATGAGCAGTCAGTCAGAAAATGATGAAGTCTACTTGAAATAAAAGTATTACTAGAACAAACTCTGAGGAACAACTATATGCACAACCAACATCAGAAATAAAAAATCATTATAGATTTACAAAACTGTATCTTCAAAAGTAAAATACCTCAGTTGAGTTATTTCTTGCCCTGCAGCAACTTAAAACGAGTTATAACTTGGGAAGTTAAACTAAAAACAAATCTGTTAAAATGGTTTGATAACCTAATGGACATTTTGTTATAGATTATGAAGAATTCCTTCGATATTTAAACCTTTCTGGTACACATGTATTCATGAAAAAAAATAACCTGTGTACAACTGAGTGTCTTACATCTAGATATACCTTGCATGAGAGGCATGTTGGTACTCCAATTAAAATCTATTGGCTTTTAACATGAGGCTAGGGTCGAATGGTGTGCTCTTGTAAACACAGTAACAAACTTTCTGATTTCATAAAAGGCAGGAAATGTATTGACTAGCTGAGCTACTGTCATCTTCTCAATGAGGTACAAGTAAGTACAAACATTATATTATACTCAAATAACATCATGTCAATGAAGAAAATATTTAAATTAGTAAATGTATTGCTTATTCTGTGCAAAAAATGTAAAGTGCTTGTATCATGATATTTTATATATTCTGTTCATGGGAATTATACATTGTAACAGGGTACCCAGTGGACAAGAGGCTGGGTGGGCACCAGAGCTAGTCTGGATGCAGAGGCTAAAGGAAAAATCCTCTACCCCTGTTGGGGTTATCCAGTCTATAGTCAGTCACTATACTTACTAGCTATACATATATACCATATATATATAGCCATACATATAACAATATAGTTTTAAAGCATAATTTAAAAAAAATCTTATTTCAGTATTATTCTCCCAGCCTCTCCACAGTTCCAATGGCCACTGTCTAAGTGGTGTCCCTACAACAGTTCTCTGTTCTTTCTTTGTCTGCCTGTACCCTAGCTAAAGCCTAGCACATTGTAACATATTCCATTTAACTATAAATATGAGGCAGGCTGTAAATCACAATTTCTTCTTATGTAATATCCTCCATTCCCACTTTATTGTAATTGATTTTATTTATACAACTTATTTTATAGATTTCTTCAAAATACTGGTTGTCCAACTTTGTTTATATGGCATATATGTGGGGATGAAAATGGCCATCTTCTTGGTTGTAGTACCATGTAATCTGGTAGAAATTTACTAATTTTTCAGGGATCCTTGCTGCCTCCATCATCAGGGCAATTGCCCAGGAGACAGCCATTGTCATACTCATTGCTATGAGAACCTCAGTTTCTACTGCCTTGTCTATTTTTGTGATACTTTTTGTTTGCTTTATTTAAAGAATGTTTGATTTAGAATGTTCTACATGTGTAGATTCTGCAGACCTGCATCTTGATTGGTTTGAGAATAACTGTCTCTGTGGTTTGTGGGTGTGTTTGGTAGGATATGCAGTGCGTGACAATACAGATGGAACCACCAACAGAAGAGCCAACACCTGCAGGAGGTATTCGCAGCTGGCTAAGAGGAATCTGGAACAGATTTTGTGTCCAGCCATCAAATGAGATGAAACTGCCCGATGATAAAAATCCATCAGTAAGTGTAAAGCAATATGTGTAGGGGTTTTTAAAAACTGCTTTGAATTTCTTTTATTCTTACAATCTAAGTGGCCGATTAATTTCTTGATACGTTATATTTCTACCCTACTTTGTTTTTATAGTTACATTGTTCACATATATATGCCATCCTCATCTTCCTTCTGATGGTTTTTGTTATAATAATTTTATTCAACCGTAACTTGAGAATATGATATTTTATTGGTGAATAAAAATTTGTGTTCTCTTAAACAACACCATGATTTCAGATTGTTCAATAGGCGGTGTGTACTTTTCATGTATCCATCATACCTGACTGACTTCATGGAACAGAGTTCTTGAGAAGCTAATAGTGTGCTCAGCCCTTTACAGATTTAAAGTTTTTTGGCTGTTATTTTTGTGATCAGTGGACCCAGTTTAACCAACAGCAGCTCATTTTGTATGTTTGTTGTGTAATTAGCTCTTTTTTCCATCTACATCCCAAACAGCCGTAAGGATAAGAGTAACAATGGCAGGCAAAAAGCGAACATGACGACAGTATACATTATGAGACACAGACAATAAACTGTGATATTTAAGTTGTATCTTAATTTCATTTGTAAGTTTTAGAAAGTTGACAGTCAGATACACCCAACAGTTTATTATAAACGTAGATCCATTAACAGCGCAAGAATATTATGTAAAAAATGAAGCAATTTTAAAAATGTAAAATGTCTGTAAATTGCATGTAATGTCTAAAATATTGTAGAAGCCTGAAGATGATACTTTATGCTTCAGAAAGTGTACCTGCTATGTAAGAAATATAACAGTTGCGTGAATAGATGGAAAAAAGTGCTAATTATTGAATATACTACATAGTGGAATTGCTTCAATGTAAGTAAATTTTATGAAGCTCTTCATTATACAGTTTTCTCCTGTCATCTTATCTGTCTTAGGTCCAAGTATTCTCCTCAGCACTCTGTTCTCAAACATCTTCAGTTTGTGGTATTCTCTGGCAACAGACCAACTTTCACGCCCTTACAAAACACAGGCAGTTCTCTTTAAATGGGAAAACAATTCAAATCTTAAATTTGACAGTTTTATCTTCCCCTTTGTGATGAAAAAAGAATTAACTCTTGGTTACCACCACTACATTATTATAATTTATTGGTCCAATGTGGGATGCAAAGCCTTTTTTGTAAAATGAGCTGAAATTTGATAATGAAGGACTTTTTTGCTGTTACAGATAGTGTGGGATCCAGATAAGAAAAGGTGGACACATGTAGATGGAGATGGAGGAGATAGCTTGCCCCCACTACGTAGAGCCTCAGAACTCCCCATAATGGCACAGAGTGTGTATCCTGCATCTGGTTCAAATGTGGACAGACTGACTGGGCCAGGGAGAGGTAGCAGTTCAAGAGACATAATAATGGAGTACTACTGTAGAATTGGGTGCATTCAGGTTTGGAATTAGTTGTACAGTGTAACCCCTTGTTTTCACTTTTCTTGGAATTGATGAAAATTCATGTAAATTTTGGGGATAGTTTGCATTACACAAAATGCAAAAGTCATAAGCTAAGTATGAATATCACCTTTTCTCTTAATGAGAGTGCTCAGGAAATAAGGCAACTAAATTACTCAGAATTTTATGGAAATTGTTACAATGTATAATTCCCATGAACAGAAGATATGTTCCAAATTTTACTATGGGGGCTTTTGGTTGAGATATTGTATGTTCTGGACCTGTGTAGAGGCAGTTACCCCTGGGAGTCATAGAAGGCAAGGAAAAAGGAGCCTGGTGCCTAGCAGTATAACTGGGCCACCCTGTGACTGGGGGACATAAATACAGAGACCTGATCCTCCAGGTTGGGAATTGGGTGGAAGGCTTAAGACCTTACTTTGTGAAAAAACTTGTTGCGAAATCCAAAGAAGTGAAAACCGGGTGGTCTAGCTCATGACGACCTGGCAGACAAAATAAGGACTTGAAACTGGAAAAGCATAGCCAGGAATACACAAATCTGGCCGAATCTTCTAAGGAAGGCTGTGGCTCAAAAAGGTTTTTTTGCCAATGACGACAATGGCATCGCCATCTTCTGATTTACTGTTTGAGTATTTGTGTACTTAACAAGACTTCAGCTGTGCAGGTTATGTAGAATTGAATGGTAGGATGAATTGGGAAGGATGTGAAAGGTATAGTTATGGTATACTTTCAGATAATGTCCCAGCATTTGCCCAGAGGGATCTGCTGCATCACCAACAGTTGGAAGTAAAATGTGTTTCTGTTTTTCTTCATAACTGATTTCTTAAATAATGTTGAGGCAGCTTGTGCTGCCCAGTTGTTACTTCTACATGAAGCATGCCATCTTCTTGGATAGTTCCTGTACCTCCTAAGTGGAGCATAGGGCCTCCTTTCGGAGGTTTCATTGTCTTTAAAGCGTGCATTTAAGAGAAGTGAGTGACTAGCCCACTGACTCCTGACTATAAATAAGGGTTGTTACAGTTTAGATGACAACTAAGAAAGTTAGTAAAAGGAGGAATATTAGTACAAAGCGATGTCACACTCCAGCTTCCATAGCGATGTCACACTCCAGCCGGAATTGGTTATAATTTTGAAGAATATAACCAGTTCGCAAGAGTCAATGTGGTGGGGGTTATAGCACAGCTGGAGTGTGACATCGCTTTGTACTAATATTCCTCCTTTTACTAACTTTCTTAGTTGTCATCTAAACTGTAACAACCCTTATTTATAGTCAGGAGTCAGTGGGCTAGTCACTCACTTCTCTTAAATGCACGCTTTAAAGACAATGAAACCTCCGAAAGGAGGCCCTATGCTCCACTTAGGAGGTACAGGAACTATCCAAGAAGATGGCATGCTTCATGTAGAAGTAACAACTGGGCAGCACAAGCCGCCTCAACATTATTTAAGAAATCAGTTATGAAGAAAAACAGAAACACATTTTACTTCCAACTGTTGGTGATGCAGCAGATCCCTCTGGGCAAATGCTGGGACATTATCTGAAAGTATACCATAACTATACCTTTCACATCCTTCCCAATTCATCCTACCATTCAATTCTACATAACCTGCACAGCTGAAGACTTGTTAAAAACACAAATACTCAAACAGTAAATCAGAAGATGGCGATGCCATTGTCGTCATTGGCAAAAACCCTTTTTGAGCCACAGCCTTCCTTAGAAGATTCGGCCAGATTTGTGTATTCCTGGCTATGCTTTTCCAGTTTCAAGTCCTTATTTTGTCTGCCAGGTCGTCATGAGCTAGACCACCCGGTTTTCACTTCTTTGGATTTCGCAACAAGTTTTTTCACAAAGTAAGGTCTTAAGCCTTCCACCCAATTCCCAACCTGGAGGATCAGGTCTCTGTATTTATGTCCCCCAGTCACAGGGTGGCCCAGTTATACTGCTAGGCACCAGGCTCCTTTTTCCTTGCCTTCTATGACTCCCAGGGGTAACTGCCTCTACACAGGTCCAGAACATACAATATCTCAACCAAAAGCCCCCATAGTAAAATTTGGAACATATCTTCTGTTCATGGGAATTATACATTGTAACAATTTCCATAAAATTCTGAGTAATTTAGTTGCCTTATTTCCTGAGCACTCTCATTAAGAGAAAAGGTGATATTCATACTTAGCTTATGACTTTTGCATTTTGTGCAATGCAAACTATCCCCAAAATTTACATGAATTTTCATCAATTCCAAGAAAAGTGAAAACAA